GGGCCTTGCTGGGCAGTGAGGAGCCTTCCTCCACCGGCTGCTCCTCCAGTGCCATCACTGACTCGCCACCAGCTGCTTCCTCAGCCGATTCCAGGGGCCCGGGCAGAGCTTCGGGGACACTCTCCAGCTCCTCGTGGGTTGGGATGCTCTCCTCGGGGACCTGGGCAGCAGCTGCATCCTCCACAGCCATGCTCTCCGGGGCGTGATAAGGGCCCGTGGCCTCCAACGCCTCTTCCTGGGTTTCGTCAGCCTCCAGGGAGACCGGGGTGGAGCTGCCAGAAGAGCTCTCGAAAACCTCCCGCTTCAGGCTGGCAAGGACACCCTGTGCCTCTGTCACCAGCAGGCTGCTCTCGGCCAAGGGTCTCCGCGGCGAAGCCCTCAGGTCCCCGAAGGAGCCCTGCAGCATGCTGCTGATCTGCTCCTGCTCCTTCAACCTCTGGGAGGCTGCCAGCACAGCTGGGTCCTGCAGCAAGGCACTGGGGGGGCCGGGCCCGGCTTCGACCTCCACAACATCTCCCTCCGCCTCCATCATCCCGGGATGCTCTGGGCTGGGGGCTTCGGTGTCTGCGAGGGGCTGCTCCCCTAGGTAGATCTCCCGCTCCGAAGCCGTGAACAGCAGTGGGAGCGGGGGCTCGCCAGGTGCTGGGGCGGAGGCTCTCAGCCAGACGCGCTCCATGCCCGCGGCACGCGGGGCCGGTTGGAGGGAGGAGTAATGCAAGCTTACAGCCAGGCAGGGCTCGGGAGAGGGGCTGGGCTCCTCCGACGGGCTGCGGCAGGGCTGGGGAGAGGCCGTGCCGCCTTGCCCGCACTCCAGTTCCAGCGCCACCGGGAGGGCGGCGTCGGCGAGCAGCGTCTCCTCGTGCCATGGGGCCGGTGCCTCGTGGGCCAGCAAGGTGCTCTCGCCTGCGCTGTCCCCGGCGCTCTCCTCAGGGGCGGTGAAGAAGCTGGAGTCCGTGTGGGCACAGGACTGAGAGGTGTCCAGGGGCTCTGGGGATGACTCCTTGGAGGACGCCGTCACATCCGACTCTTCCCGTGGGCTGCCCGGGGCGGGCGCTTCACCAGCCCCCACATGGGGAGCTGCAGGGTCCGGGCTCTGCCCACCTTCCAGGGAGTCCTCGCTGGGCAGGTCATCACTGAAGGCCGAGGAGCCCCCGTCCGATGCGGCATCTCCTCCTTCCAAAGCCTCCCAGGGCGCCTCTGGGGGCACAGCCTCGTCCTCCTGCTCCTCGTCCGTGAGGCAGACCCCTTCGGAGGCAGCTTCCAAGCACGGCTCTTCATCCTCCGGGGCATTGCTGAGGCTCTCGCTCTCCTCCTGCCCCGGCTCCGTATCTGGAGCAACCTCCTCTTCCAGAGGCTCCGGGAGCCGGGAGCCATCCTCAGCCGGCTCCTGGGGCAGATCTCTCTCTCCATCAGGGAGGTCTCCAGGCCCAGCCACAGCTCCTCTCTCTGGGGTCTCCGTGTGCCCTGGTGCCTCTCTGAGAGCTTCATTTGAGCTCATGGAGAGAGACAGGTCTTGATCCGACAGCGATAGGTCGTCTTCGGTGCTGGGCTCATGCTCACCAAGGGCTCCTGGCGGGCTCATGGTGCCGTCCCTGGTGTCGGGGATGTCCATCTCTAGGCTGCCAGCGTCCGGCATCGGCAGTGCTTGCCCTGGGGCGGAGGAGTCATCTGTGGGGTGCAGGTCTCCGGGCACCGAGGGGCAAACCTCTTCAGAAACCGAGTCCGTCTGGCTGGTTTCCTCACTTCCCGAGGCAGAGAAGCCAGAGCTGGCTGCCAGATCATGGCCAGCCCCTGCATCCACCACTTCCGGCCCAGTCACGTCCACAGGCTCGCCCTCCGCCGGGTGGAGCTCTCCCACTGCAGGGGCCGGCGAGGCGCTGTGCTTTGGTCCTACATGAGGTTCAGACACCTCATCCGCTCCCACCGTCTGCTCCTCTTCTCCGCTTGGCTCAAGGTCCAGGCTGCCATTGGCATCAGGCGCCTGGTCGCCAGGCAAGGCAGGGAGGGGAGGTTCTCTCAAGGTGCCATCTTTGGCCTCTCCTGGCTCTGAGCACAGCCCAAGCAAGGTGGGGACATCCTGGTCCTGCTCCGGGTTCATGGCTTCTTGCCCGGGCGCCGGTTCAGTGCCATTTGAGGCAGCCGGGGAGAACTGGGCTGTGCTGAAGTAGCTCCTCACGTACTTCTCGATCTCCTGCTCCGAGCTCAGGCGTGGCAGCCCACTCCCAAGCGGCCGCAGGAAAGTGTCGCCGCCCTCCACCTGCCTCTGCAGCTCCTGCAGCCCCTTCTGCATCGCGTGGAGGTCCAAGGCCGGGGTTTCCGCCAGCTCCCCAGGAGGGAGGGCCGGCTCAAGCACGGCCACAGGGTCGCTCTGGCTGCCGGGGGTTGCGTGGGGCTGCGCGGTGTCCGAATCGAGAGGCGGCTGGGAATCCAGCTCGGCTGCTGCAAACAGCTCCCCATGTTCCTCATTGTTGTTGACCTGGTCTAGAGACGAGGCCTCCTCCAGCTCCTCGGAGGAGAAGGTGGCCGGGCTGTCGCCCGATGGCTCACGGTCAGCTCGGGACACTTCGGGCTGCTCCAAGACCGCCGCCTCGGAGGCTCCCAGCAGGGCCTGGAAGAGACTTTCATCCTTGCCAGGCTCTGGCGACTGCCTCGTGCCTGCTGGGGAGGTGCTGTCTTGGTCCAGGAGCTCCAGCAGCCGGGCTTCAGACTCCCTCAGCCTGGCACCGATGTCGACTGCGGGTGCATCGCCAGCTTGCCCGGCAGCAGGCGCTGGCTCCTCTTCTTCCCACAGCTCGGCTGGAGCCAGCTGGCCCCCCGGCTCCGTGCTCTCCAGGCCAGGGAAGGACTCGGCCTCCTCATCTGTGTCGAAGCAGGCGATCAGGCACTCTCCAGCGCTGGGGAGCCCTTTCTCCAGGGCCTCTTGCATGTCAGACAGCGAGGACTGTTGTCCCAAGGAGCTCTCGGAAGAGGAACCCATTTCGGCCTGGGAGTCGTCTGCCCTGTCCGATTTGGTCTGCGGAGGTGGCTCCTCTGGGCCCACAGCACTGGCTGGTCTTGGAGACGGGTTCACAGTCTCCAAAGACTCCTCGGCTGCTTTTGGGTCAGCGACAGGCGCGAGCACCGCGATCAGCTCAGGATTGTCCTTGCTGGGGACTGACGGCGGCCTCTCCCCCTCGCCCTCTGCCGGCCCTTCTACCTCGTCACCCTCCAGTTGCAGCTCTATGGCTGCAGGGTGCAGCCTGCTCGGCTCCAGGTCCAGCGCCGAGAAGGCCACGCGCTCCTCGTCGGTGTCCGAGGCATCGGAGGAGGTCTCCATCTCGCTCTCGCTGCCTGACGGGGAAGAGCCCCTCTCAGAGTCCTCCGGGGCGGCCGGCTTCCCGGGCTCCCGCGCGGGGTCGGTCACCACAGCGTACTGCTCCGTGCTGTACAGCTTCTCATCCTCCTCGCCGTTGTAGGAGGCTGAGTCCGAGGACTGGGATGTGTCATCCTGGTAGGCGAAGGACTCGTCCACGCCCTCGTTGATGGAGGTCTCCGAGAGGGAGTGCAGGAAGGAGGCCGAGGTGCTGTCGTCGTCCTCCACCCCGTACACCACGTCGTTCTCTGCCACCTCGCCCTGCGGGAACAGCGTGATCTCCATTGACTCTGCCTCG